ACCAGGGACCCCACATTTGTAAAGCAAACGCTAAAATAAGCCGGGTTAAATAAATACTTATTTTTTTCATCGCTTTACCATTTTTTTTCTTTTTAATTTTCTTATTTTATTGTTTATTCTCATTTATTTTCTATTGTTTGATCAATTTTTTTATTTTTTTCATTATTTTTTTCCTATTCCGATTTCTTTCTTTCTTTCTAATTTTCTCTTTCTCTTTCTTATATTTATTCATATTTCTTTCTTCATATTTTTCTTTTTCTTTTACAAAATTCCTTCATATTTCTTTGTTTCCATCCTTTCATCTTTTTTTTTTCATATTTTTCTTTTTCTCATATTCATTGATAATTTTCTTTCTATTTTCAATCTTTCTTTCTTTTCCCCTACATTTCTGTTCGCCTGTTCTTTCTTTCTTTCTTTCTTTCTTTCTTTCTTTCTTTCTTTCTTTCTTTCTAAAATTTCTTCATATTTCTTTCTTTTCAACCTTTCATCTTTTTTTCTTCATATTTTCTTTTTCTCTTTCTTATATTCATTCATATTATTACTTCTATTTTCTTTCTTTCTATTTTCTTTCTTTCGTTCTTTCTTTCTATTTTCAAAATTTCTTTCTTCATTTTTTCTTTTTCTCTTCCCAAAATTCCTTCATATTTCTTTCTTTTCAACCTTTCATCTTTCTTTCTTTGTATTTTTCTTTTTCTCATTCCAAAATTCACTGATATTTTCTTTCTTTCTTTCTTTCTTTCTTTCTTTCTTTCTTTCTTTCTTTCTTTCTTTACTCCATACTCTATCCTAAAAACTGCTTGTAGGTCTAACGCTGCTAAAAACAACAAGCCTCGTTTTGGTGACCGACTTTATATCCTCCGCCTACCACTCCTTTACGTGATTGAATATAATTAGGAATATTATTCAAATCAGACAGCTCGCGTCTTTTTATTTTTTTTCTTTTCTTTTGATGAGATCGAGGCAACTTTTTATTTGTTTATTCAGATGTTTATTTATTGCTTTTATATTTCTATTTAAAAAAAAATCTTATCTCGATTTTGATTGGGGCATTAATTTCCAGTAATTGGAACGCGAAGGCATTCTATTATGCAGTATATTATTATCAGACCCTTAGAAGTTTTATTAAATACTTCATGAAAATACTTCATGATGATTCTATGATATGATACAATAATATAATTTACCATAACAAGTTTTATATGATTAAGTTACAGTCGCTTCAGGTTTAAAATACAATAAGATATTTGTGGGTTTGCTTGATGGTTCAAAACTCGAATTTCGAATACTGATTCTGAAAAACATCTCTTGCCTTCCAGACTTTTTTACAATAATGCTTATCCTGTACAAGTCCCAAGAGCCACGCGAGGTAGAGTGTTACAAAGTAAGAGGAATCCACCCAAACAAAATGACAATGCCACCAAGACGCAAAGGACCACCAGAATTGAAAGAGAAAGAAAATTCTTTTAGAAGAAACCAGAATCCTAATAAGGGAATAAGGAATAAACCATCTACTCCTGTTCAAAAGACCGAGGAAGAGTGCGAACCGGGTGATAGGCGAATCTATCTGCTCCTATTGAGGAAACAAAATAAATAAATAGTAAATAAAATTTCAGCGTTTCAGGCAGAGACGTCAGATGTATAGAGTTGAAGTAGACTTTAAACTGAACTGAAAAGCCAGTCCTAAACAGAAAACAAAGGATAAACCTCTACTCCTGTTCAAAAGAACGAGAAGGTGTGTGACCCGGACATTAGATAAACCTTTCTAATCCTGTTCAGAGAAAAATATATATATGAAAAATAAATAGTAAATAAAACTTTATACTTTAGGCGGAAACGTTAGGAGTATAGACTTTAGAAGGAAACGGAAACCCAATCCTAAACAGGAAATAAGGGATAGACCTCTACTCCTGTTCAAAAGACCGGGGAAGAGTGTGAACCGGACGATAGGCGGATCTATCTGCTCCTATTGAGTCAAAGGAAGTAAATAAATAGTAAATCAAATTCCAAAAGTAAAAACACACAAAAGAATTTGAAAAGGTTGGTAAGATAGACATTTTAATCACTTCAGCCCAAGCAAGGCGATAGTGTCACTAAGACGTAAGGGGGGTTACTGAGAATGAAAAGACTTTAGAAGGAACCGGAAACTCAATCCTAAATAGGAAACAAGGTGAAAACTTCTGCTCTTGTTCAAAACACCTGGGAGGAGTGTGAACCAAGAGACAGGCGAACCTATCTACTCCTATTGAGGAAAAAATGTAAATAAAGAGTAAATAAAATTTCACTGTTTTAGGCGAAGACGTTAGGTGAATCGAGTTGAAGTAGACTTTAAAGGGAACCGGAAACCCAATCCTAAATAGAAAACAAGGGATGAACCTCTACTCCTGTTCAAAAGACCGGAGAGGAGTGTGAAACGGACGATAGGCGAACCTATCTACCCCTGTTGAGGAAAATAAATAAATAAATAGTAAATAAAATTTTAGAGATTTAGACGGAGACGTTAGAAGCGTATGACAGTCTTGTTTGTTTTTTCATATGTCCTTGCTGTTAGCTAAATTTGATATAAAAGAAGATGTATAAAGGAAGAAAACTTCACAGTTCATAACTTGTACAGTGAATTAGATCGTCACAACTTGTTTCCCTTGTTTCATACGAAGAGCTAAAACATGGAGATAGTCTATAACAAAGATTATTTTTCTGCTAATAAAATTAACAGTCTGGGAAAAGTACATCAGGCACATGCAGTAGAGCCAAATCTGCGCGATGTGCTGACAGTTTTTGATTAGTTTTTGGTTTGGTTTGTTTTAAGGTATATCAACACTTCAATGGGTTATTTAATGCCGACAATTTTCATTGCTGGTAGTATTTTTCTTCATAAATGCATTGCTGGTAATTTTATTTATCGTAATGCCCAAAATGGAGAACTGAAATTTGCTTTGGTTTGGTTTGGTTTATTTTACTGAATATAAACACCTCAATGGGTTATTTAACGCCGACAAGATATTTATTGATGGTAAGTTTTTTTCTTCAAAAATCTATTTCTGGTAATATTTTTCCTTCAAAAATATATTGCTGGTAATAATGTATTGCTGGTAATATTTTTTTCTTCAAAAATTTATTGCCGGTAATAATTTTTTATAAAGTATTTCTGGTTTGATTGGTTTGGTTTGGTTTGGTTTGTTTTGTTTCACGGTATATCAACCTCAATGGGTTATTTAATGCCGACAATTTTCATTTATTTTTCTTCATAAATATATTGCTGGTAATTTTTTTTCCAAAAATGTTTATCGTCATGCCCAGAATAGAGAACTGAAACTTGATCTGGTTTGTTTTACGGTATATCAACCTCAATGGGTTACTTAATGCCGACAAGATTTTTATTACTGGTAATATTTTTGTCCCAAAAAGTATTGTTTAGTAATATTTTTCCAAAAATGTAATGCTGGTAATAATTAAAAAAAGAGGTACTGCTGGTAATAATTTCTCCAAAAACGTATTGCTGGTATTAAAACTTATCTTTATACTTTCATAATGTTTTGACTCCTTTTGGGAGGTTAAGTACTTGCCCATATCTTGGACCCTAACAGATGCTACCATCCCGGGTCAGGGTGGACCCGGGAACACCAGCAATTACGAGGTGGTTCCACGCTCCCCCTCCTGATCAGAGGCCTTGATTTTGGATGTAGTTTATTGTCTTACTTAGGTCTTACCTTCGAATACGTTCCCAAGTATATAGATGTGACTGCGAAGTCACATTCATTGCCTCATCCTTGAAACTTGAAAAAGTGTACCTCTTGACAGCCAACCATTATACTCCCTACTACTCCCGCTCATGAACAGAGAAGCACAGCATGTTAGTCACCTCGGAGACATGCCCAACTGGATAAGGTAAGGCAACTGGCAAACAAATTTTATTCCTCTTTCTTTCTTTTTTCACTCCCACTTCTTTCTTTCTTTCTTTCTTTCTTTCTTTCCCTTTTCTTTCTTTCTTTCTTTCTTTCTTTCTTTCTTTTACTTTCTTTCTTTCTTTCTTTCTTTCTTTCTTTCTTTCTTTCTTTTCTTTCTTTCTTTCTTTCTTTCCCTTCCTCCACTTCTTTTCTTTCTTTCTTTCTTTCTTTCTTTCTTTCTTTCTTTCTTTCTTTCTTTCTTTCTTTCTTTCTTTCTTTCTTTCTTTCTTTCTTTCTTTCTTTCTTTCTTTCTTTCTTCCTTTCTTTCTTTCTTTCTTTCTTTCTTTCTTTCTTTCTTTCTTTCTTTCTTTCCTCCCACTTTTTTCTTTCTTTCTTTCTTTCTTTCTTTCTTTCTTTCTTTCTTTCTTTCTTTCTACTCTTGTTTTTCATTTTTTGAGCTTCTCATCCTACATTTTGTTCTTCTCTCCGGTTTTATTTGTTCCGGCTTTTAATAACATACAAAAGGTTGATAAGCCGTAAAAAAACAAATCGATCATTCAACCAATGGTCTTTTTAACTTTTTCGACCAATTTGTTCACTTTTTCACACTTACTATTTGTGTTTTTTTCTTCTCCTTTGAAGATTAACATTATGGAATAATAATAATAATATTAATAATAATAATAATAATATAGAAGATGAAGAACCTAGAGGTTGAAAAAAGAAGCGACAACGGAACGGACGAAGAAGAATTAATATAAAGAAGTAAGAGAAAGTGAAAAAATAAAAAAAGAAACTGACAGTAAAGAAGGAGACTGAGGACGTGAAGAAAGAGGAGAAAGAAACATTAAAAAAGAAGACGTGGAAGAAGAATGAGTGAAAAGAAGATGAAGGATAAAGTGAAGCAAGAAGAAGAAGAAGAAGAAGAAGAAGAAGAAGAAGGTGATACAGGAAGAAGAGGACAAATATGGAAGATGTTGAACATGGAGGGCTAAAAAAGAAGCACGAATAAGGAGAAGGAGGAGATGAACGTGAAAGTAAAGAAGAAGAGACAAAAGAGACGGACGAAGAAGAAAAAGAAGAAGAAGGTGGTGGAGGAGGTGGAGGAGGATGAGGATGGGATCGTATCTGTTTCTTCTTTACTATCTCTTTCTCCTCTTTCTTCACTTCCTCATTCTCCTTTACTGTCACTTTCTTCTTTTTCTTCACTTTCTCCTCCTTTACATTCATTCTTCCTCGTCTTCTGCTTTACTGCTTCTTTCTTCGCCCTTTCCTTCTTTACACCCATTCTTCTTCTTCTTCTTCTTCTTCTTTAATGTCTCCTTCTTCTCCAAGTTGTTCTTTTTACACCTCTTTTTCTACATCTTTCTCTCTTTCGATAATGATTATTTTCACAATCTTTTGTTATTTTTCTCGTTTAATTGCAACTATTATTTCTCTCGTCCTTCCTGATGTATCGATTTTTTTTATATTCCTATCGTTATCATCATTTTTATTTTATCGCCTTCGCAATTAATTCGATTACTATTTCTATTATTATTATTATTATTATTACTGCTGCTGATATTGTTGTTTTTGTAATTATTGTTATATACAATCAAATTAGATATTAGAAAACATTGCATATCTACTTTAAATCGCATTTGATTCATCGTAATGTTATTAAGAGTGTCAGCATGTGTCTAGATGTGCGAGATGAGGCATCGCCATGATTCAACAATTCATTGTTAGCAAATTCCTCCTCTCTCTGCTTCTCAAGATGCTTTCATTCGACTGATACACTCTTTTGGCTTCCTCACCCTTCTTTTTATTCACTTGTTTGAACAACAAAACATTTGCTACAGCTTGTGATCTTTGGCTAATGGCCTTCTCCGTGTCGAGTTAGGATGCAGAAAATACGGCTCGTTTGGGTTACGGTTGAGAGACCTCGTTTCAATCGGGCGTATTATGCAGAACGAAGAGAAAAGGGAGGTCGGACAAAGGACGAAGGCCTTTCTTTAGCCAAACAATGAAGCTATTTTATCTGACCATTTCTGGCCACCGGGGGGGGGGGATAAAGGGAAAAAAGCAGCCGTCTGAGCGGAAGTAATATTTTTTTGGGAGTTTCTAGCGCTCAAAGCCTGAACTACTGAAAGACGAAAGCATACATGCTTTAGAGTGGTTGTATTTGTGCTTTTAAAACGATCTTAGATTATTCTAGGATGTAGGCAATCATGACCCTCCACATCTTCTCGTCTCTTGTAATTCTTAATAAGTTTTGTCTTCTGTTATTTTTCCCAAACCCTGTTCCGCCATCCATTTACTCCTCATCAAGCTTCTTACGCGCTGCTTTCCTCTGTCCCTCTTTCCCTCAATCTGCCCTGTGAGTATTAGGTTTTCCAAGCCCTCTTTTCTCATTACGTGACGTAGAAAATCCAACTGCATCTTCCTGATGATAAGTTTCCTTTTTGTTTTCATTTTCTCTAAAACCTCGTCGTTGCTCAAATGCTCGGTCCATTGTATCCTCAGCATCCTTCTGCAGAGCCACATTTCTGTTGCTTCAAGTCTATTATTCATCTTTGAGGAGATTGACCAGCAGTCACTGCCATATAAGACCAATAGAAATATAAAATAGTATTCACACACACACACACATACACACACATAAATATATAAATATATATATATATAGGTAACTACACTCGTCTTGGAAAACCTGCGGTTTCTTGATTTGCTAATGGTCAAATCAATATCGAAGGAAAAAAAGGTTTAAAAAAAAAGAAAGAGCTAGGAACATGAACGTCTGTCGTACAGCATACAGGTCCAAAGCCCAAAGAAAAAAACCCGATACTAGTAATCAACTAACTTAAAAGTGCTCAATACAAAAGTAGAGCAGACATAGTCAAACCTAGAGAGCCAGACAAACCTACCAAGAAAGATGGCTTTCCCTGACGATCCGCTTAGGTAAAACCTTGGTAGGTTTGTCTGGCTCTCTAGGTCTGACACTATATATATATATATATATATATATATATATATATATATATATATGTAATCAAGTGAATCCTATTAATATAATATAAAACATTAAAGCTTATTCACAGAGAGAGAGAGAGAGAGAGAGAGAGAGAGAGAGAGAGAGAGAGCTCAATGTTTATCCAAGCAGAGCATATAAATTACAAACATTAGGAATTAAGATTACTCCATAATATTGATGATCATCATTTTCACCTTGTAAATTAAAATTAAATTAAAAGGATTTTCAAATCCATCTGTTCAACACGAAAAATCAAAGAAAAAAAAATCCCATGTATGATGCGACCCTCTTAAAATTAGCTTCAAAATTAGGTCTTCAAAAGTCGCATGATACGCGAGTATATACAGTATATATAAAAATTCTCTTGGGTCGTAAGAAAGATATAAACTCACAAAAGAAACAAGGCACTGTAAAGTTATTGAACGAAGAGAATGTAACACTAGAACTTACACAAATTTAATCATTTCGCCCCAAGCAAGGCGATAATGCCACTAAGACGCAAGGGGTTACTGGGAAAGAAAGAGGATGAAAAGAATTTGGAAGGAACCGGAAGCCCAATCCTAAACAGGAATCAAGGGACAAAATTTCTGTCCAATAGACCGGGGAAGAGTGTGAACGGGACGACAGGCGAATCTATCTACTCCGATTGCGGATAAAATATGAATAAAATGTTAATGTTTTTTTAGCGGAGGCGTTAGAAATATAGAGTTGAAGTAGACGTCAGAAGGAACCGGAAATCCACTCCTAAACAGGAAACAAGGGACAAAAATCTGTACCAAAGACCGGGGAGGAGTGTGAACCGGGTGACAGGCGAACCTATCTACACCTATTGTGGAAAAATATGAATAAAATTTTAATGTTTTTTAACGGAGGCGTTAGAAATATAGAGTTGTAGCAGACAGCGAATCCTAAACAGGGAACATGGGAAAAAGAATCCACTCCTGTTCCAAAGACCGGGGAGGAGTGTGAACCGGGCGATAGACGAACCTACCTACTTCTATTGAGGAGGCAAAAAATAATTAGTAAATAAGATTTCAGAATTGAGGCGGAGAAGTCAGAAATGGAGAGTTGAAGTAGACTTTACAAGGAACCGAAAACCCAACAGGAAACAAGGAATAAACCTCTACTCCTGTTCAAAAGACCGGAAACCAGGGAGGTGCGTGAACCGGGCAAACCTATCTACTTCTATGAATTAGGTAAAATACCACAAAGACGTATCTGAAATCAATTAGAAGGCTAATTATTAAGCGTGGATTGCCCAGCAAGAAAATAAATGTACAAGCTGGTGTTTCGAGTGTAAACAAAAATAAATTGCAGACGATGAAGGACGTTAGCTAAAGACACTTAAACTGATACCTTTAAGTAAACTTCACAAAGTGTGTTATATGTATATAATTCCAGAAGCAAGTCACTGTTTTTACAGTAACATTGATATTAACCCATTAGCTGCCATGAGCCCTATCTGGGGATCTGTTAAAAACTCACTACATGTTATTCCTTGTCTTTACATTGAATTGCTTACATACATTGCATTTGCAGAGGTAGATTTTACAACACTTAGCCTTTAAAGTTTTTATTATTAGCCGTTAAAAGACACTTTTTGTCATAATTTTACATTTCACGAGTAGAAAAATAATGACTCTTTTGAAAAGTATGTTTTTATTATTTCTAATAAATATTATTTTTTGATGTTTTATACACATATATATTTGATGTTCTAGTTTCTATAAAAACAACAATGGTAACTACTGAAATTAAATATAAGGAATAAATAAACTCCTAAGACACCTGTTTTAGCCAAAAATGCACATTAAAAAAATTTGGCAGTTAATGGGTTAAAATCTTGTGTATATGTAAAATAAACTTTTTATTTTATTATTTTAAAATTTTTATCTGAATTTCTGGGATGAGCAGTTATCATTATTTACATTCAGACTAATATCCTCATCTTTGTTGTTATTATCACCTGATTGCCTTCTGTCTGAATTTCTGGGATGAGGAGTTATCATTATTTACATTCAGACTAATATCCTCATCTTTGTTGTTATTATCACCTGATTGCCTTCTGTCTGAATTTCTGGGATGAGGAGTTATCATTATTTACATTCAGACTAATATCCTCATCTTTGTTGTTATTATCACCTGATTGCCTTCTGTCTGAATTTCTGGGATGAGCAGTTATCATTATTTACATTCAGACTAATATCCTCATCTTTGTTGTTATTATCACCTGATTGCCTTCTGTCTGAATTTCTGGGATGAGCAGTTATCATTATTTACATTCAGACTAATATCCTCATCTTTGTTGTTATTATCACCTGATTGCCTTCTGTCTGAATTTCTGGGATGAGCAGTTATCATTATTTACATTAGATAATATCCCTTCATCTTTGTTGTTATATCATATTGCCTCATCTTTGAGCAGTTATTTATTTACATTCCTAATATCCTCATTTTGTTGTTATTATCCTTCTGTCTGATTTCTGGGATGAGGAGTTATCATTATTTACATTCAGACTAATATCCTCATCTTTGTTGTTAATATCACCTGACTGCCTTCTGTCTGAATTTCTGGGATGAGCAGTTATCATTATTTACATTCAGACTAATATCCTCATCTTTGTTGTTATTATCACCTGATTGCCTTCTGTCTGAATTTCTGGGATGAGCAGTTATCATTATTTACATTCAGACTAATATCCTCATCTTTGTTGTTATTATCACCTGATTGCCTTCTGTCTGAATTTCTGGGATGAGCAGTTATCATTATTTACATTCAGACTAATATCCTCATCTTTGTTGTTATTATCACCTGATCGATTCTGTCTGGATTTCTGGGATGAGGAGTTATCATTATTTACATTCAGACTAATATCCTCATCTTTGTTGTTAATATCACCTGACTGCCTTCTGTCTGAATTTCTGGGATGAGGAGTTATTATTATTTACACAGTATTTTTATTCGGACTATTATCCTCATCTTTGTTGTTGTTATAACTTACTCAGGGTAACGATATGGGTAACCTATAGAGAATTATTAACTGAACCCATTATTTAATTTACGAGGGTAGACTGTTCTCGTTCCATGGCTGATATCATCACTATACACAGGTAATTTGTTTTTGAAGTGGTTAAAAATCATGCATATTCGATGAACGGTTGCACTATACATAGGTAAATATTTCCCGGAGGTGTTAAACTTGATGCATTTTCGGTGACCGTAACCTCCCTGGTAGGCCTACATTTTTATGGTACTTTTGGCTAACCATAACGGTAGTCTTTTAGTTTGTCTCTCGTAGCCTGGATTCATTCCTTTTGTTACTAAATGAACAGCAGAACTTAATTTACTGTGTGTGCCGCTTAAAAATCTACAAATACCTGATATAA